TTCCTCCCTCAACCTTAGCTTTGATAATGTTTTCTCTCCTATGTTTGGCAAACAAATGCTAGTTTCAGATAAATGTGCGCTTCAAAAACAAAATGTTTTTCTAGATATTAATACTATATTCATTTTTCAGTGGAGCATACTTAGACCAGAATATTAAAAGTGTTCATCTGTGAGGCACATGTTAAGCTAAGCCTACTGAGAGGCCAGCTTTTATAAATTATACCAGAAGTCCATCAAGCCCAAACACCTGAGTCAGACCAGAGGTTCACCGTGGGCCCCCACCATCTGAAATTCTGAGCAACACTGGATGCTCAGGAAGGCAGCCTATGAATTAGGAAAGCCTGTGGCCATGCTGTCCTTGGTGCAGTCTTTAAGCTTCTGGACTTTGGGGTTCTATAACTGGCAAAATAAAGTATTTATGTTGAACAGGCTGAGCTGGTAAAAATCAACCAGAAACAGGAAGAGTATGTAAAGAAAGAGAAGGACTTTGGAGGGTTTCTCTTCTACTCTTCTGGTTATGAGCATCAATCATGATTTTAGTTTGCAATAAAATAGAAGATACATATAACATACTGAGACCTGTTTTTTCTTTGTCACATTTTAAGCATAAATATTAATGTTGTTATCTAACCATACTTAAAATAACTTATTAAAACTGGATTGTTCACTATTAATTTGTTTTAAGCCTCCCTTTCCTGGCTGACTGCCAAAACAGTTAAAATGCTATACTATTGCAATACACAAGAGATCCATAGCACCCTCTAATTACTCTTTAAATACCTCACACAAGCACTGCCTTTTCTTACAATTGTGTGGCCAATAGGTAGGCATCAAAATTTCAAAACCTTTAGCCCAGATACATTATTTTATTTCTGAAGTTTGCATGCACCACCATCAAAATGTTTGCCTGAACTACGGACAAACATTTGGAACATGAACACCATCCTCCACTCTGACCCTTCTTTTCTACAGGGTTGTCAGTCCTGAGAAGCATACCTGAGGCCTGCCTGAGGTATATGTATTTATACTCCATAATTCACTTCATGATTAAAACACTACTACTGCCTCAGTTTTCCAACACTACAGTGCTTTGGGCATGTGCAAAGGAACTTAACCTTACTAAATCAAACTCTCCCAATATGAAATACTGAGTTTAAATGTGTGATTAATACCACAAAATTCTCCTGAAAGTTTCTCCAAAACAAAGTTAAAGGCCCTGATCTACAAAGATTTACTTATGTGGGCGAGTTTACTCAACTTCACTGTCAATGGAGTTAAATAAAGCTATTCACTCTTGTAAGCCTGGTCTAGCTAATCCTAAAATTTCAACTAAAAAGAGTTCATCACTTCTGCAGAATCATTTATTTTTCCCAGACTTCTCTAGACTTCTGGTGTGAAAAAAGCCACAGAAAACCAAAAAAAAAAAAGCCATAGAAGTTTTTCATCTCCCTGAAGTGACAAGTTGAAAGACAAATTATTTGATGGTCAGTAGCACCATCAGAATTCAAAATTTACATAAACATTTAAGATACAGGTGCAGTCAGTATTGATACCTATTAAAGTCACATGTAACACTACCATAAAAGCATTTGCCTTCCAAAAATATAAAGATAAAATACAGCCAGGTTAGCAAAAACAGTTTCCCAATTCCCTACTCAACAACTAACAGTGTTCAAGAAGCTAAAATACAAATTATTCCAGTCTGAGGTTTTACTTCCTCAGCATTCTCCAACCATGCTCTATAACATTACCTAATACTACAGTCAAGAAAAATTGAAACAAAACCCCAGTCTGGCCACAACAGTCAACACAGCCTTAAATGCAGTTAGTGATGATCTCTACAGCAGTGTCCCACTGAGCTGTGGGGCTCGGATACAAGCCAGAGCCAGCTAGAAGTCCAGCTCGAGGGCTTGGTTTCAGCTGTGCATGGCTTTGGTCCACTGACTTACGGGACACAGCATGAAACTCAGTGCTCTATGCGGTGCCTAGCCAAAATGACAAGAGAGGTCATTTCCTGTCCTATTTCCAGCTACCCTTTACATCTTCAAAGAATATGTGTGTAAATCTAAAGGGAACAAAAATCATGCATAAGTAACAGTGTTTACTTACTCAATTTCCAGCATTAAAGTTACTATCTTGACCTCTGATCCTGCAATCAGCTGTGCATATTAACTTTACCTAAGGGTGCAATCCCACTCATTTCAGTAACTTACTTTGGTGCCAGTTTCCGTTTTGATGCACTGGCACCATCAAGGATAGTGATGCCTTAAGTGCAAAAGGCAGTCAGAACGACCTCTTATAACCTAAAATTAAACCTGTCCTACAAGTACTTGACAGTATCTTTTCAATATTACCTTTTCCCTGCTGAACTCAGCATACACATGGGAAGTTGTCCAGGTTTTCCTTCAAAATCCAGCAATTGGTGATACAATCTGGAATCCTACAGCTCTAATAATTGGTGCAAATGCAGCCAGGGACTGTAGTGATTGAAGGAAGTTCCCATATGGCAACTGTAAAGCTGTTTGTATTCAAAAAATTATAAAAAATAGGCTGCCACATCATATAATTCATCACTATAAAACAACCTCCTACTGGCACTCTCAAGGAGAACAGAAATGAAATACATCCTGAGACTGAGTTATCTACTTGTATTTGGAGGTGATTCCTGCAAGACAAAAACTAATCCATTCTGTTATGGTAGTTAAGAGAAGCTGCAGTTCTCCCTTATGGATCAATCTGTTCCATCAACAGGCACAGGACTTTCAGTACTAGAAGCCTGAAACCTTTCAGAAAGACTCTGCAGAAACCACAGGCTGTGTACGTACACACAGAAGGTGTCCTACCTGAAAAAGGCTGCTTGATTCGACACAGCAGAATAAGGACGCGTTCCTAAAGCCATTTTCGTGTAGTACTGACACCAATTTTTAAATTAACATCAAGGTATCTTACTCAAACTGGGATCAAACTAGGCAGCAAAACAGTTGGATGCAAGTAGGCAATATGGATGAAAGAACTTACTTCTTTTAACTAAAGTTTTGAATTATCTATTGAAAATATAGCACTTGTCCACAGGTAGCGCATATGGAAAAGTAAAACCATACAGCCAGTTTATTCATAAAGTAAACTTTGACCAAATAATCTCACATGTGCCACACCACAGACTTTTGCATTGCTGTCACATGACGGCCATGACTTATCAGACAGAACACTGACGATTTCACTCTTCAGAAGCTGCAGAAGTGTGCAAAACTCAAAATAAAGAGCATTTCTTTGGTGCAGTAGAATAGTTCTCTGCTCTGCTGTATTGATATTGATAAAAACCCCTATATTGTGACTTTTTCAATAATTCTGTTACACAGTGTGCAGCACACCAAAAATATATGAAGCATTTTACCTGCTATCTCAAAATAATGAAAAAATTTTAAGTATACTTTCAATTCCATTCATTTGTTTTGGAGCCAAAGAACTACTGTTGACTAACAAATATTTCCTTGACAATCCCTCTTTATAATACAAAATACAGATTAAAGCTACCTTGGGTTCACCAGTTTCATTCTGGATAGAATGGTACTGGGGTCCAGGTATTAAATAACTACTGAAAACTGAACCAGTAGCTCTGCAAGCTGCAAAACCAGGGAGGCTCCACTTCCTCCATCGATTTCCAGCTTGAGGAAAGTGTCGCCATAAACTCTCTGGTGTGCAGGTCAAAAGCTCCATCCTACCTAGCTTCCTTACTTCCAGAAACTCTGTAGAAACTGCTCACCTGGGAGACCTCTGCTGCCAAATTTATTTGAAATCTTCTAAGACCCAGAAGAGTTATTAGAGGGACTGAAGGCACACAGAGATTATAGTTCTATTTGAGCTGCACCTGTTAAAGAAATTATGCTAACAAAGCACGTGGAATAATTAATTGGTGGCATTTATTGCTACTAACTACTGTCACACCTGGTACCACTGGACCTTTTTCTTTGAAATTCAGCAGAAGCACAGTGCCCATGCTGCTGTCTCTGTTGCCACCAGAGGTGCTACCTTGTCCCAAAATTAAACACAACACCCAGGCTGTGCAAATTACAGTCTCCCCTCCACTCTATGCCTATGCTCAGTAGGAAGCTCCTATAAGCTAAATTTACAGACACATATCAGAAACAAGAGTTGAAGTGCAAGGTTCAAAGTGTTGTTTGGAAAGGAAATGTTCTTACTTCTACAAAGCCTACAAAAACATGGTTATGGCTGAACAGTACTACCTACAAACAGAGGTACTGCAAAGGTAACTGACAAGGAAATTTTGACCCTCTTCATCGTCTTACTTTCCAAAAAGGAAAGAGAAGGACTCTGAAGTAAACTTGCATATCTGGCTCCCCTGACTTAAGATCAATTTCACTTACAAAATTTGTCTGAAATATCACTCAGCCATCTATGAATTATTACATGAAAACTAATACACTTTCTTTGTCAACACACTCCAGGTTTCAAAACTGGTTTTGGAACATTCTGCCACTTATAAGTAAACCCAAACATCTAATTTTTAATTAATGACCAGCCTCTGCCTAGGGTTAAATTCAGCAGGTACATCTAAATACACCTTTACAACATGAGCTTCAGAAATATTTGTCCCAGTTTTCCCAGTGCCAGGTGGACCATACCCACATATGGTAGACACGTAAAAGCCCATATATTAATATAATAAATAACCATATAACAAATTTCACATATTTGTAATACTGAATAAACTGAATATTGTAGAAGTCACACTAGCCCTTAGCCCGAGCACACAACTTTAAGGACATCAAGCCTGTGTGTCCACACAGAGCGTTATGTGCAGACTCCGCAGGAACAGGGGCCTGTGTGTGTCCAATAATTTTTTTTTAAACTGCAAGGAAGACAAGTAGCCTTGATGAAGCGTGATGACTGAACGTTTAAATTAATGACTCAGAAATGTAAAGCGGTCGTGTTCCAGGCTCGGTAATGGGATATAAACCAGAACAGTGGGGCGNCTGAACGTGAAAGATTCCGGCAGCGGAGCCCTTCGGCGTGGTGCGTGAAAAGCGAACAAAAATAACTTTTAAAACTCCTCGCCTAGGCATCTTCAGGTGGGCCACGGTTTAGGCTCGGTACGTTTAATTTCCTGTGGGTCAAACAGAAGCGAGATGGCCCGCCGGCAGTGCGGGTGCTGCGGCGGCCGGCGGGGAGCGGCGCCGGCACCTCGGGAATGCCCAGGGCGGCACCGCGGAACAGAGCTGTCGCCAAACACCGAGCAGAGAACGAGCCTGTAAATTACGCATCAGTAACTCCGGGGAATTTTACATTACGGGTTTCCCACTTCTATAAGCCAGTGTTTCGTATTTTAAGAAATAAAACATCGGGGTTGTGTCAAGGTGGGCTTCGTGGAAAAAGGTGGTTCAAATGCATCTAGCCTTCAGAACTGCAGACTGCAGGGAGGAGCGAAAGGACAGAAAAAAACCTAAAGAGCCAAAGTTACTGAAGTTTACATGGGCAAATCAGCAGTTCTCATTCAGCATTATCTTTTAGTGTTTCCTGCTGTCTAGTAGTCAAATTTACATCTCTTCCCGCTTTATTGTCTTTAAAGGCTGATCATAAAATGGTAATTTTATTGATCACTAAATGTAACCTAATATAGTTTATTCATAAGAAAAATAATTGAGTCAGGATGCTCAGTTTATTTTGCAGGCAATGCTGCAGAGTAAAGCCTAAGAAAAATAATTGAGTCAGGATGCTCAGTTTATTTTGCAGGCAATGCTGCAGAGTAAAGCCATTTGTATTTTTGAATTTCAGATAAAGCAAATACATGTATTTGCTTTTAGTTAACTGTTAAACAGTTAACAAAATACAAAAAAACCGGAAGTGTTCTAGATTTGGAGACTCGATACCATAAATTGTTCTCATGTAACCTTAGAATGGTGGAGTTTATAATTTCCTGTTCAGTCAGAAATCTAACTCACATTATACAGAATTGATTTTTAATTTAAAAAGCAGTAGTAAGTTTTACAAATTGACCTTGGCAATGAATTACTTAACAGTTTGCAGACCAGTTGAAGCTCTAGGTCTGCCATGGATTCACAACTCCAACTGAGCTTATGGGAATCTTGAGTGAGAACAAGGTTTGAACTCCAGTATCATTTGGGGGGGGTTTGTATACACAGGCAAGTGATTGGTTAATTTTACAGCACACTGGTGAAATGTACATATCTGAAAAACACAAGACCTAGTTGTGTCATCATCTTCATTACTTTTCAGAATGACTCGTTTAAGAAATTTTGTGGCATTGGGCTAAAGCTTCATAGTTAGAGACATACTGGCTCTTGCCAGCTGTTGCTGTAATTTGACTTCTGGGTTTCAGGTTCGGTGTTGATGGATGGGATTAGTCCTTTCTCGTGGCACCTGGCGATGCCTGTGTGGTACCAAAATGTTTGGATTCTCAGTTCATCACACCTCTCCTGTTGCTTTCTCTCCTAAAGATCGTCTTAAGGAATGATTTGGTGGGTTTCTGAAAGGCTGGGCTGTTACCTGTGTCCTCTACTTGCTGTATTACGTGTGTGTGTGCTATTGGCTGCCGCAGACAGTACTGGGGCTGCACCAGTGATTGACTCGGTCAGTAGTGGAGAGACTGTCACGCTTAATTTCAAGCACAGTGTGATTAAAATAGCAAAGCAGTTGGGGAGAAGACAAGCTGACCGGTCCCATAGCTGAGAGCAAGCTCAGACTCACACCATATGGGTGTGAAAGAATAGATGAGAGTTTGAGTCAGGAGTCTTGGAGGCTAGACATGCTTTCATTGCAGTGGAAAAATTGGTTGCTTCTTAAATTGTCATGCACTTGTCACTGATAGTCTGAGTGTTCTCTGAGTGTGCTTTTTATAAGGAGCTGTTGAACAGGTGACTTAAAACGATTATACTGTTGGTGGTTCAGCCTGATTAATCCTACACAGGATGGGACTCGGCGTGTCATTGCCACCTTTTGCCTGCCAGCCAGGCAGCCTGCAACCTGTCTGCCACATGATATCTGGGTAAAGCTCCCTTACCGTGCCCATTCCTGAGTGGGCTCTCAAATGTGTTGCAGTGCAGGTGGACTGACCAATTCAGGAGACTGAAGCAGCCAAAACTACCACAAATCTCAGCTGCTCATCGGGCAAGGCCAGTGCCTGCTTCTAGAAACTTCCTCTCTTTTATTCTTTTGCTTTAAATTAATGTTTTTGGCCTTGTGCTGGAAGGGGGAGGGAGGAGCTGCCCCCAAATGTTTTAGCTGGAATATGGTGTAAGAAGCCACTGGTGCAGGGGTTCATTGCTGCCGTTTGCTGGACACAGTTTCCCAAACAGCCCTTCAGACAGGCTCAGCATTCACTAACTCCTCACCTGTGTTGTGAGGTTAGTTGGCATTAACCTAATAATGAGGATTTCTGCAAATAGCCTACATTTAAGAAGGTATTCTCCAATTTTGAAAATTCTTGTATATTTGAATTATTTTCTAAAGTAAGTAATCATTTATACAATCCTTAATGTGTTTGAATAATTTGAAAAGAAGAACCAAAAATGTATGCTAGCATCAGATACATATTATGCCACGTAAAGTATTTTTAGGGTGATCTGGGCAAATACAGGTATAAGAGCAGAAAGAAAGAAGGAGGAACAGAGGAATAAAGATGGAGAAAGACAGACTAAGATATTTCAAACACTGTTATGGGTTCAGTGGTTTGTAATTGGGGCATAAAGGACTTGCATCCTGAGATACTGAAGGAGGTGAACACGTTGATGCTATAAAGAGCTTTAACAGTACATGACAAAAGTTAATCTGGGTTTCAGGTTAGTTAACATGATAGTAACCTGAAAACATCTAGACATTCTTGAAAACACTTTGGTTTCTAACAATTCAGAATAAATAGAAAAACACTATAGTGGTTCATAGAAAACATTTTTTTTTCTTTTAAAAGAAATAAAAAATGTTTCTGGACCCAAATTAATTCCTTCATTTTGAGAAATAACTGAGGTAGTCAAGGCCTCATCCTAGCTATTGCTCTTTGAAAGTGTATTTTATGAAATAAAATATATACCCGTTATAAAAACTGGTATTTTATAGCAGCACCTCCTAAATTCATGTGCAAAGTTCCCATTGCTCATTGTACTGTGTGATCATATTACAAAGAAGCAGTTCATCCTGGAATTAGTATTAGTCATTTGCTTACTTTGAAGCTCTTGGATCAATATTTTAAGAACATGGTGCTTAGCAAAACATAGGTATTTCTTTTTAATCCCAAATACATTTCTTTTGAATCTGAATATTCTAAGAATTAGTGGAATAAGTGGGTAGTTTTTGTCATGTTAATTTCTATTTAATATTCCATAAGCTATTAATAAAATCATTGATGTTTAAAAGTGAAACATCTTCCTTGGATATAATGCAAATTACATACCAGTATAGTAGTTTAGTAAGGAAATTGAGTGCTAAGTCACTGTGTGGTGGATCTGTAGTTATTTCCTATTCTGAAGCAAGTATCCTATTTAAGCCTTGTGTTAAACATCTTAAGATGTCCCATTTTGCCTTTAAATGCATCTGCATCTCTAAATGGCCAGGATCTTTGTGTTTGTGCCCGCATGTCTTTGTGAGGTTCAATATTCTGTTCTTTCTCAAATAGCACTTCTGTTTGATCTTGCATAACATGTCTAATTATTTATGCATATTATACTTCTAGCAAGTATGTGGAGGGTTCTTTTTGAAAAACATTGTTTCAAAGATTGTTTTTGAACTTACTAAAAGTTATGCTTATAAGCATGTTTGACTTTGAAAACCCTGTATTCCCAAACCTGTTGCTATTTACATTTGTGTCACATCCAGTTACATCAGACATGCTGGATTACATTGTATAATGAAAGCCGTATTGCTGTACTCTAATCTTTATCTCTTTATATCCGATCTCCTTTGAATTGCACATGAGTATTGCTTATGGTTACTTAAAATAACTACTGCTTTTGTTCCAAGGGCAGTGCTATGTGCGATGAACACTTAACACTCAACCCTGCTTTGGCAGCAACTTCACTTCCTGTGTCTTTGGTTCTTGCGTGATTTAACTGGGAAGCTTGCTCACATTCTTTTTTTATTTTTCATTTAAATTTCATGTTTGAAAACTCTGAAACCTGTGAAATCATACATGTTCAGAAGAAAATAATATCATTACTTGTGCCACTGTGTATTCTGAGAGATTTGGGATGTGTGCCTTCCTCCTCACAAAGCAGGTCATGTACTCTTAGGGAGAGTGGAAAGGGACAAAGAGTAGGAGGAAAAGAAGTTTGTGCAGTAAAGCTGACCTGAACTGGGGTTGGTTTTGAGATCACTGCCAGAGTCATTCATAGCCTTTAAGATTCTGACCTCATTTGATAGCCAGTATAAAGATGTAATTTCTGCTGACTTAGGGAGACTTGTACATGTACATACTGGTTATATGTATTTTTTTTCCTTTGAGCTGACTACTTAAGACATTATTGCAGGAGTAATGCTTAATAATGTTAATAGCTGCAGAGTCCAAGTTAAAATGGCATTTAGGGAGCACTGGAAGGGGATTCTGTATCAAAATGCCCTCTTTTTCAGGGCATCCTGAATTTTTACTGTTCAACACACATGCTGTTGTGGTGCTTTTATACATGATTTCATAAACACAAAGCCAAGTGAAATAGAATTTAAAAAAAAATAAATATCTTATTCTCCTATATCAGTAGTTAAACTTTAGTTGGGACTCTGTATGGTCTTTTCCTCTCAGCTACCATGTTGTTAAAGATTAACGAATTCCTCAGGCTGTGTGAGTGCCCTACATTATACTTAGATGCTTAACAGATCTTTTGAATTTTATGTGACAGGTTATTTTTTCTTCCCAAATGTTTTGAGGATAATGGTTGGTTACAACCCTGAGGATCAGAAAGCCTTCCTTCTTAATTCAAAGATGAATGTGATGAAATTTATTACTTTGGGAATAGTTCCAGGAGCAAAATCATTCCCTCAATCTGTGATGTCAAACAAACCCTTAGAATGGAGCTTGGATCAGGACGGGGCTGTTCACCATTAGAGGTGGACATAACTGTTGTGCACCATTTAGAGATCTGAGAAAACTGGACACCTGTCAGATATTTGGGCTTGTTTTTTCAGCATGCCCTTCATTTCTATTGTTTTCCTCATTACTTTAATTTTCTCATCACCATTCCTTCAGGTGGAGGTTACAATCCTCTCTGGTCTGCTGGTGTAACTACAACTGTAGTTTTTTTTTCCTATAGGTTTTCAGCTCTGCCAACGTGATCTTAGTTTACGTCTCCTAATCATTTTTTATAAACCAAGAACATGTTGATGCAATTTAGTTAGGGAATGATATCTATCTATCTATCTATCTATCTATCTATCTATCTATCTATCTATCTATCTATCTATCTATCTATTTTGTGCTCCCTGACATGAGGAAAAAGGTAGTAACATAGGGACACCAGTGAGTTCTTATCCTACCTACAGCCAGAACAGTCTGAATTTTCTGAAATTTCAGAATTTAGGAAAATCCAATGGGATTGTATTAATAGATAAGGAGATAGCACTGGTGGTGGGGAATAGGAAAGACTAGATGGCTCTGTTTTCCTGATGTTTAGATGTTACATGGTTCGGCATGGAGTTTTTCAGCTCCCACCTCACTCCAGGTAAATACCCTTTGGTTTGCATATCATTATCTGCTTTGTTCCCGTGCAGCAGGCACAGTCTCTTCCATTCTTCCCTGAGAATCTGTGTTGGAGTTGAATGATGGAGGTATGGAGCCAGCCAAGAGAACAACTACTCAAGAGGCAGCAGTTGTAGAAAACTTGTTTCTTGACATCTGAAAAAGACACGAAGGGATGGAAGAAGCGTGGGTTTATTACAAGCAGAGCTTGTATAGTTTCCTTGTTAATTGTTATTTTTGAGTGTGAGAGTTTTTAATTGCCTATAGCCACCCAGCTTCCACTTTTTCTAGGCAAAGATTGTTCTTGGCAATTGCCTGCCTCACTGCTCTGACATTTGTAAAGTGAAAATCTGCTGCTTTCTCATGTTAGAAGAAAGAAACTTGACCAGCTCAGTTGTAGAGCAGCACCTCTGCTTCCAAACTGGATACAGGCATTTGAAATGTCTCAAGTCTCCAACACAGATGTCAGGGATATGCATTTTGCAGTAGGTGTTAATAGTACATCCATACCTGCCCCAAAGGCAAGTAAGCCTCTGCACAGTCACTTCTCATGTAGAGGCTTGGTGTGGATCTAAGGTGAGTTCTCCAAAAACTCTCTGCATTTCCTCTCACAAGCCAGGGAGGTGGGAGATGCTCTGTTCCAAGGCTTCAAAGGCTAAGCCAGCATTTCTTTGCAATTAGATGGGAACACAAAGCTGGGACAGACCTCCCACCATGCAACAACTATTGTGGGAAAATGTTAGCAGCTCTAACCTTCTCCACCCCTAGCTCAAAAAGAAAAAAATTATACAGGAATTAGTAAAGAAGCAAAACTACTTTTGTGTTACTCTTATCTTTGTTCTGCAAACTCCTGATTTGTCCTGATGTTTTATCACTTTACCTCTTGGCTTTCAGGAGAAAAAAAGGAGCAGAACAGAACCAAACCTGAGCCTGCCTTCATGAGTGCTGAAGATGGTGATGGTACATCACAGCCACCCAGAACCTTTGTTCATATTCTTCAAAAGGAAAAAGAAAAGACTGCTGTAAAGGTTCAGAAGAACTAAGTATATGCCATGAATTCAGAACTACAAGCTATAAAAATGACAAATATATTTAGAAAGGAGAGGTTTTACCAACATATATTTATACAAATTTTGAGTTATTCTAAGAAAGGCAGGAGGCAAATAGTCCTTTCCTCCCCTCTACTTCTTTGAATATGCAATTAATTGATCCTGTTTTTTCAGATAACTGTAAAACTTTGGAGGGAATGTATAAATCTTTGCTTTTTTTTTTTTTTTTAATTTTTAAGTAATATTGTATTCCACTATTTTCTTTTGTTTCATACATTTCATTAAACAGTTTGTTGAAGCCAGATATCATTGCATGTTGGTATTTAATTTCTCATGGAATAAGTTCTACATGATGGGATAAAAAGATACATTTATAATTCTCATAATGTACAATACTAGTTAATGATATGCAGAAAAATGTAGGTAAATGAAAGAAGAAAAATACCAGCTAAAGAAAAATATATGACATTGATGCTTCTTCCTTCTGCTTATTTTTCCTTTCACTTTTGGTTAAAGTGGGATTTTTCAAAGCACAAGAATTTCCTTCTCCTCTTTCCTTCAAGATTAAGCATATTGAAAATTAGACTGTGTTCAAAATTATCCCACATTTTTGCTTTTGTTTTCTAATTGTGAAGAAAAAACACAGAAAGTTCCAAAAAATATTCTGGTTTTAAAATGTAGGCTTGGACGTCTTTGATACATCATCCTAACAGCTAGAAGGGACATTATTGTTCTTGATGGAAAATGCAATCCATTCACAAACCTCAGATGACGGGGGGAAATGAGGGACCTAAACCATGACAAACTCATGATAAGTAATGACAAACCATCCTGAAGCCAAACATTTAGATTTGCTTGGACAACTCAAAACATTTTGGATTCTTTTTTTTATTTTCCCAAAGGGACATTACATTGTTTTGACACAACCAACTTTTTCCTGTGGAAAAAAATATTACAGGAACCACTTTTCTATTAAAAACTGTGAGCAGAAAATTCTGGAGCAGCAATAAAGGGAAGTAGTCAAACCAAAACCAAGTTCATTTGAAAATGTCCTCTCAGGAGAATCTTGTGACTGCTCCAACCTAGCAATGAGAATTTTATTTGAAGATAAGTGTATTTCCTAGACAACAAACCTGATAAAATCCATGTAGCATAACTTGATGTGTTTCAGCACATTTGAAATACGATGTTTCAGAGAGTCACTTGAGAACTGTAAAAATGTGAAAGAGCTCTGGTGGAAGGCTTGGGCCTTTGACATGAGAAATCACATCTGAGATTTCACAACTGTTTTGCTAGGACTAGGTGTTTTTTTAAAAAACTGAACACTGCTTTTTTAAAAAATGTCTCAGTCCACCAAGCAAAAATTTGTATGTTTAAAAACGTACTTTTAGCTTTAAAAATATGTAGCTAAATTCTTCCTTATTTAATATTTAGAAGCATACTCTTAAATTTGTTTTTGAAAAATGGGCACAAACCTCTTTTTAATGACAGCAAAATATTTTCAGGAAGGATAAGGGTTGCCATACTCTTACTGAATTTTTAGGATACAGGTAGTTAGAATAACTTGCCAGGAAGTTTTATATCCTTGTAAAAGTTGCCATGAGTGGCTGGCTTGCTAGAACTGATGGCTATCTCAATGCTTATTTGTCAAGGGAACCTGTGCTTTAAATGTGACAAACTGTGTGCTGGCTTCTACATCAGGGCAAGCTTCATCTTGTCAAGAGTGGGTAGGAGACAGAGCCTATTATTCCCTATTACCCAAGTTAATCACATGCTTTTCAGAGTATAAACAGGTGATTCACCAAGTTTAAGAGCAGAAGTGGCCAACAGACCAGCCAGTGTCAAGCACTCTGGATATCTATCACTGCTTCTCAAATTTCACTCACACTCGGGCCCTATCTCTTGTGCCAGGCTGAAGTGTCCCATAGGGATAGAAGGCTCTTCGAGATGGGGATTGCAGAGCTTTGGGACCATCAGGCAAGGAGAGCAGAGCAACAAACACAGCTTGATTGGCATTTGAAGATGATGGCTGGCATCATGCCTGTTGGCATGTGGATCATTTGCTCAGTGAAGTTATGCGAACTTTCACCTGGTTCTTGCAGGAGTGTGACATTTTTTATGTTCTTTGTGTGTGCAGTTTTCACAATGAGATGCTGGTCCTTAAAGCAGGTCTGTTAGAGGCTTTCATAATGAAAAGTATAGTAAAGTAAACAACCTTTGCTAGTCCAATATGCAAAATGGCCACTGACAACTCTGAGCTTCACCACACTGCAGTGAATTTAGGGTGAGCTATTGAAGGGCCCGGGATCACTCCAGATTTATCCTGGTAAAGTCAGTAAATGTTCTACTTGCTTCATGGCGTTTCTGGGAACATCTGGGAAGTCAAATTAAAATGGAAGAGTGGATTTCATAGCTGGGGGCTTCCCTTTGGAATGCTTGTGGCTCTTCACTAGCTCAAAGAAAACAAATTACAAATGAATCCCACAGAGGTTTGAAAGGCCAGGTTTTTTATTCAACATCAGCTGACAGTACTGTTTATTAATAGATTCAGTGTGTTTCAATATAATTTTTCTCATCTTTCACCACATTTGATGATTTTTTTTCTATAATTGTTTCGTTAGTCATTTCTGTAGGCAGCCTGGCAGCTGTTGCTGCAATCCGTTTATTAACTGTGGTTGACTCTGGATTTAACAAAATGCAACTGCACCCTCTTGTGGAAGCTGCTAAGTAGATTATTTTGGTTTCCTGGTAGCACCTGGTTAATTTTTTTCTGAACTAGACAGAAGAAAACAAATAGCAGAAGTGTCCTAAGGCCACCCAGCAACAAAGCTTCCTGGATAGCTTCAAAAGAATAAGCTGCAACTTTGGAATGTCTGAACTTGGAAAACCTTTGAAGACAAACTTCTGTGAGGGAGACCTTCAAAGGCACCCTGGGAGACCTTCCTGCCCATGGCTTTTGTGGGAATCTCTGTCATAATATGTTTTTCAAGAGAAGGAGTTGGCATAGCTATATGCATAGAAATTGTACATATACAATTAAGTCTAAGGATAATAATTAAATATAAGTATCCAGCATGGAACTGAAAAATAGTTTATATTCTTTTTCTATTTGTACAAATCTATGAATACAGGTATCAATCTCTCTGTATGTCCTAATGGAAATAGTGCATGTTTTTGAAGGCAAGTACACTTGTGAAGGGTGTAGGTTAGGTTGCACAAAGAAGGTTTAAGTTTGAAATCTTGTAAATCTCAACATGCCATTTTTTTCATGCAGATGGTGTGGACACTTTGGATAAAAGAAGTGCCTTTAAACTCATGAATGCAGTTATAGTCTGGTCTATGAGGAGCAGTGGCAGGGGAAGCCAGAGCTCCTTTCACTGCTGAAGCAAGTATATTGGCATATCCACCTCCTGCTCTGCATAATATGGGCTTGCACAGAGTATCACACAACATTTACCTTAGTAAAAAAAAAAAGAAAAATTGTTTACAGGAAATAAATGTTCCTGAAAAAGAAGCCTCAAACTTTTTTTTTTTTTTTTTTCACTTAGTGTGGACACAAGGAGTTTCTGACTAAAATAAAATGAAGGAAAAATGATTTTTAAAGTATCCTTCATAAGCAGAGACACTCACTGACAAAAGGGTAAAAACGCCCCAAAAGTAGCAAGGTATTTGTGAAATGATCAATTTCCTTGAGTAATTTTTAAAGAAATAATGCTGAAAAGTTTTTATATGGTTTTTAATACACAAGGTATTCAAATGCATTAAAGTCCGATGTAAGCAGCACTGGTTTTTATGGGCCACAGCACAGCTACTCTTTCTCAGAGCAAAGAACTTAACCACAGTCTGCTTTGGTGTCATTAGAAAAATGGGAGTACTTGTCTTGCTCTCTTCAAATGGCTAGTTTAAAAAAAAAAAAAATTAAAAAAATAGTCATACAGCATGTATATATCCCCTATACAGAGTTTAATGAGGTGAGTTGATTAGCATTATTTGCATTTTTATGTCTGAACATGTTCTTGCACTGCCAGCATGTCTCACTGGGCGGTGAAATACAACCTATAGATGCCTCTGGGTGGGGTAACCCAATTCAAGATGATGGTCTGAAGCTGAGTTTCGGAAGTCCTGGTCTGATGTTAACATTGTCTTACCTGTGGCAGAATTTCCACAGTTTTTGAAGTTCCACAGTGTTTAAGATTTGTGTTTCTGTGTGTTTCTGCACTGCACCTTTTCTCTGTGCTTTAAAGGGCCCTTTTCCATCCTGGGATGGTACATGTTTCTGCAGTCAGTAATACAGTACTTTTATCCCAGATGAGGATAAAGCCTCATTTTACTCTCTCTGTTGGGTATCTGCTGCACTTTGTGTATTTCTGGCAGGGCAATGGTAAGCCTGACACTGTGCCAGCTGACACAGGAGGAGCAGCTGTGGTTGCAGGTCTCCAGTTGGGGTAGTTCACACAGCCTGGCCGACTTTGGTCTTCATGGGCTATCACAAAGGGAAAGACACTGGCCAAGTACTCTCATGATTATTGACATTATAATTTTGTTGCATCTTTCCACAGGGCATGGAAGTACACACAGGTTGGTGGGAAAAAGAATTAACAAGCATCCTCACACATGAACAAGCTGCTTTTTGGACCTCTGTGTGCACACTTTGTGCCGCCAAACTCAGAAGGAAATCCTCTTAGCACACTTTAAGCACCGGAACTTGCTCCTTCTCTAGAGCAAGTATGGATGTGAAGTTTATGCAGCTGTATCCCCCTTTCAAGTTAATTATATCACTCCGAGCGTTTCAGCTGTGATCCCACACTGCAGTGCCTTGCGCCTGAACCAGCCTGCCTGTTTCCCTGGGTGCCTGCCACGGAGGCTGCCTCCCTGCTGAAATCCTGGCACATCACCTAGTGCTCTGTAATACAAGTTTCTTTCAAGCTCACGTACCCAGAATTCACCACTGTAGCCTTGCCTCATGTTGAATGGATACTAAATAATATAAAGCCATTTCCAACTCCTAGTATCGATCCCTCACTTTATAATCCTGGGCATCTGTAACAGATACAACCCCACATCCCTGGCACTGGCCTCTTATCCCTGTACACTTCAAGTGCACTGAAAACAGTGTTGATAACACAGAGATGTCTTAGCTGTTGCTGAGCAGTGCTTAAATCAGAGTCAAGGCATTTTCTGCTCCTCACACCCCATCAGTGAGCAGGCTGGAGCTGCACAAGGAGCTGGGAGGGGACACAGCAGGTACAGGTGACTCCATCCAGAGGAATATTCCATATCACATGGCATCATGCTCAGCATGTA